GCGATAGATCTTCTGGTTTCAAATGCCGTCGTCTACACCGCGTTACATGAGTCAGGTGGGGTAACCAGACAAGCAATGCCGAGGTTAGACGCAGAGTTTTAGGTAATCGCGGCCGTCCACCCGAGCAAGTGGTCGAGCTCCATGGATTGCGGTGGTTGGGTCATGAGTTGTGCATGTCCCCAAATAGATTACCATAACGCGCGATGTGCACCGAGGCAGAATGGGCGGAAAATGTATAGGTTTCCAAACTTCAACCTGATATGAGATTGTGAAAGCCCTTTAACGGGAGACTTAGTCACATAAGTCGTCTTATGCTTCCTGGAATGGGTCATCGGGATCAACGTAGTTGACGGTTAGAGATACAGTGATACATCTGAGTGTCGTAAACTGTGGCAATCGTACATATACTCGATGTACGTGCAACTCTTCATGCATTCTCTGTTTTCACCGTGACACTGATGTGAACCGTCCACTTGAGTAATCATGCGACAGGAACCAATACTGGCACACGAAGGTGCATGGTTAATGGGTGTAGAAACTGAAATTGAATCTGCTTTTCCTTGTATATCCAATTACTTCCTAATACTAATATTATTCAGTAGTGCACCAAGTTTGCTTGTGTAGCGGTGCCTCATACGAACATAAGTGGCTTTTATTTTTAAAGGGATTTCTCTGAAGCAAAACCCGACTACGTCCGCTTATACCCTCTCTGATCAGCGACAGCAGTTTCAGTGTACTCATCGTCAAAATAGCTCTTCTGTCCCCTGGCCTTGAGTTACCCTGGTAGCATGCAGTGTACTTAGGTGAAACCTCACATAGGAGGCACTCGATCATACTTCTGGGGTGAAACATTCAATATGCAATAACCGTGTAGCTTACACCGCCGTATGCAGTTTTGGGGTTACGTATTAAATGCCTTTTATTTGTTAAGCATCACTGTCTTCTCGTGAAATCTTACGAGAAGACCTGTTGAAACAAATGATGGCAGTGGACGGTTTACGAACAAATCTACCTTCGTTCGTGTGAGGTTATGAGAACCTTTTCACATAATCGTACGGTACCAATAGCAATCCAAATATTCTTTGGCGTAAAGTATTGAGACTTAGAATCGTCGGACAATCATTCGGTACCTGACTCGTCTGTCTCTCATTTCGACTGAAAATGCAGTTTGATAACTACCTTCCTTTTTCTGTTTTTATCTCTACAGCCGATATCCTACAGGTTTTCGAAACAAACGTGGCTGTGGGAATACCCGCCACTCCATTCATGACGGTGATTTTGGCCCTGGTTGGTGAGTTATGTTGCTAATCAGACAATATGCATTGTAGTGCACAATACGAATGAGGTATAAGGTTGGGATTTGCGATTGTTCTCTGTGGTGCTGATTGAACTTGTCGCAACAGTGTATGCGTTTACTAGCGAACGGACTAAATTCTGAACCGAAATGGTTTGCTCATGTCCTTGTGAGGTTAGTAGTTGGATGTAGAGGTTTTACATCAAGTCATTTAATAAACGTCCCACTGCTCAATCGTTTCGAATGATACGCACCAAGATATACACAATCATTAATTTTTGTTTCTTGTCTTGCTAACGAACAAAGAAGGAAATATAAACGAAAGCTGTCGAATCAGTTCCTCAGTTGTTCAACATTAGATGCCCTGCTGATATGGGTGTGAGCCAGATTCGGAGCGTCGTTGTATGAAACGTGCCGATGACATCTGGCAACATTCTGTCTTGTAACAAGTTGTACACACCTCTTCTCTTGATTTAAACTTCTATGGTAATCATTTTGCGCCCTCAAGAGACATAAATTGTATTAGCTAAAGTTCGGATTAGTTACACAGATTAGTTCTCGTATTTCTTTCAAATGAAATCATACCTCAGTTGATCAATTCATCATTAGGAGGCAGTCATTCTAATTGTAACTAGCTATGGTCATCTCAAAAATGAAAACGAATTACTCTGTCACCAATTGAATGAATTCGCGCGCGAACTCAAACAACATGCTGCTTTACATTTTACAGTCGTAGTACGTTTTTGCTTTGTTTTTTCCTACTCGTCACTCCTTCTCCTGGCGTTTTATCGTGCTTTTACAAACACCATAGTTTACCTTCTGTTTCAGCAATCGAAACCATCATGTCGGAGTTCTTCGGAGATTCGTTTACCGCTTTTTATGTGATTTTTATCGTCAGCATTTGCGACCATTACGAGGCAGTGTTTTGTCGGACCGCAATCAGTCGACGCTACTGGCCAAGGTTGGTTTATATTATGTATGCAAACATATGTATATATATATTTGTTGGAAGTTATTGTGTAGGGCAGTGTTCGACCGTTTTCCTAGTATGAACATGTGTTTTCAGTGTGATTTTGATCAAAACAATTCATACAGCCTGTTTGTCGTACAATGTAAAGTGTACCACTGTTTTGTATGTGGAAAAAGAATTAGAAGCTTTATGCTGTCGATCGGGTCCCCCAACATGAAGAAATCTTTGTCTTTGGTTGATGGACTGATCTAACAAGTGATGTTTGTCCCAGACGCCTACTTGTTTTCTTTGTTAGGCTGAATTTTGAATATCAAAGGTTGCAACGCTTCCTTGTCAATTAAGATAGGGCAACTCGGTCCCCAATTTTTGCCAGAAGTGAGAGGTTAAAATGTTATTGTATTGTGTTGTATTGCAATAACTTCTGTAGGCATGAAGCCTACATTTCAGTTAAAAATATAGGTTAGAGCGAGGGAGAAAAACAATAATAATGAAATAAAAGAGATTTAAATCCTAAAACTGTTAACAAAGTCTGTGAAAACCTGTTATTTGTTAACTAGAATACGTGCTAATGAGGGTACTGTAGAGTTACAATATATGTTTATTCGGGAGGAAACACAACGATATTGGGATTTGGTTGAAGGATGGGAACAACAGGAAGTTAGATCTACGTGTAACGGATGTGTGAGGTCGATGAGAATCTTAGGTGCAAACTGTTCACATGTATTCAAATGACGCTCGCATAGGTCAGTTCCCAACTCCTTCAGCGGGATTGTAGAGACACGGCTAATGATGGTTGTCCACGTCGAAGCAGTTTAAAAACTCTTAAGGAGGTTGGAAAAAATAACAGATGAACAATAAAGTAAAACTGGGAAAACACACCGGTACACAAATTTGGAAATAGTTGATTGTGGAATACGAAACTGACGAAGTTTACGGATATGAAAAGAAAGTCATCGAAGCTTACTCACGATATGTTGAATGTGAGAGATCCAGTGAAGATCAGTGGTGGTGGNTGGTGGCGCAGTGGTTTAGTCGCTGTCACCGGCGTGCTTTGGACCCTATGGTCCGAGGTTCGAGCCCCACCACCGCCGCCTGACTGGTAGGCAGCTCTGCTGTCGTCCGGTTCAATACAACCCCTAACCTATCGGGGCCTTATGTGGTTCGCCACTTCAAGTCCCGGGGCTTAGGTTACCGGTTTGCATCACTGAACAGCAGGTCCTCGTGACTATGGGGTCCGCCCCATCTGCTGTTCATCACACCCAGGTGTGTAATAAAAAAAAGTATCAATAAAAACACCCAGGTATTTAATACAGTTTACCCAGGATGCTGGTTCCGAGCCAATCGATACCTGTTCAGATGGGAAAGAAGAGCGTAATAATGTAAAGAGACATTTGAAACATTTGGAGGGGTTATGAGATAGGCCAGATGTGGCGGAATACCGTTGAACGTAATCCAAGTTGTCAGAAAACTGTGAAGGACCAGAAGAGTCGGAGATGGCCTGACACAAAATCACATCGTCAGTATATTTGAAGAGAAAAGTAGGGACAATAGCAGACAAGTCACTAATATACGTAGAAAATAAGTATGAAGAAAGTACTGCACCATAGAGTACTCCGAACTGTAACAACGGTTTGGATTTCTTCCGAACTAACCTGGTACACTGGAATAAATGCATCAAAGAAGGATGAAATGTGAGATTGGGTACAAAAAGGGGCTATTTATAAGCTGGTAATGATTGTACTTCTATATCGCGAAAATCTGGAGAAACATTGAATAGCTAAGCAGTCGATGCCATTGGCGGAATAATCAAAAAGAATTTCAGACTTGCCGCTCCAGGTTGAGTTGATGTACGTGATCACTCCACCTGTTTTCTTTCTGCTTTCTGTCCTTACGGAAGCATTTAAAACCATTGATTCCAATTAATGAGTCCTGGACATTATGGTCAAGCCTGGATTCTTGAATACAAACAACATGTGTTACGGTGGATGCGTAAATCAAGTATGCACGTTAGATCTGTCCTCTTTGCGAAGAGCGACCTGATGTTCGTGCTGACCAATGAGGGCACAGTCATTTTCGATGGTGGTATGCGACTAAGCGCTGCTTGCCAGCCACCGCGCTTGCGTTTCTTCATTTTAGTAGAAATCCGAGAATGAGCTGACAAAGACATAAAAGACAGTATTAACCGGATCATGTTTGAAACTCATTAACTGAGATCGCTAATAGACCTTTCCAGTGGTCATTATGTGGTATTCGTGAAAATAAAATAGTTCCACGAGGGAGAAAATGCAGCGCAGCCATTCGAAGGGCGCGTTATCACATAATCAAGAAATCCACCTTATCCTATACCAGTTACTTACTTTACTGCGGCAGGCTCCTTCGAAAGAATAATCCGGCTCCAGACATGGTGATGATCAGGATCATGGAGTTCCTTGGGAGTTTGATACGAGAGACGTTCCCAGCGTCAGTTGGCTTTTTTATTTTGAGGGCGCACACCTAGCCTTTGCACAACCAAGTGCAAACTGCAAGGCAGCAGGAAGTAATTCCTCGCCTCGGCATTGAGGGGGTCAATAACTTTAGTTTTAAAAGGCTAGTCACATCTACCTTTGTCACGACACCGTCATTGGGCTTATATGGCCTGGTACCATTCAGTTCTGCCTTACCCGAGAGTATCCTGTAACCCATGGTTAATGTTCAACTGTCTTGGTTTGCGAAAAATTGCACGAGTCATTTTCACAGGTAGTGACGTGTTCAATAGGATTATTTTCGGTGATTCATTATCGGCTCGTGCACTCCATTTTACATCTGAGCGTGTTAATAGTTAGTCATCTTTCATATGACCAGATAACTCGGGTGTTAAACAGGCTCTGTGAACCGAAGTCGCCTGTGCTGCAAGTCCCTAGGTCAGTGCGGTATTGTAAGCGGATCATAAGGTTTTCTTCTTGTAATCGGTTCATGTCGAAGGTGTTTGGAGTGTGTTAGCTGTATTTTTTTTTAAATAGATGAATCACAAGCGATCAACTGACTATTTTTATTACAATATCATCTTTGTTTGCAGTCATTTGCAGCACAGTAAAACAAAACCGGATGTAACACTACCGATTTTTTCACATCACTTGTTGCAATGGTAATATCAATGAGGAATATACTCGAGTTATGTACTCAACTACAATTATCCATCCAATCTCTAGGATTTTCATTATTAGATTAATATATTTCTCGCGCGTCCAAAGGCGGACTATGTGCCAAACAAATCACGGCACAATAATCCTTATGAAAAAGGAAAACGTTGCATGTGGGCTGAATACTGCCAGGTTGCCCAAGTGAATTTTCTTGGGGAATTTGCAACTGAAGCCTTTGGCTAACCAAAGCCTGACGCGCAAGGTAGCGGGGCAATGTATGGAAACTGCAATCCATTGGGGGACGGTGTTCAGTTCATCGAATCATATTCCCTTTGAATGATGTCAAACGTCCTAGGTGCCTGGGAACTGAGATAAATGAAAAGAAGAAATTCAATCTTTACTATTTTCATACACCCTCTTCCCTTTAGGAATTTAATAAGAGCGAGGACAGATTGAATTCGGGTTCTCTTCAGTTATGTGCACAAATATTCATGTGAAATTTCGATCCGGACAATAACTGATCTTTAAACATCCAAAATACTCCACTAGGCAAAATCAGTGCGACGGTCAAAGGTCACCAGTCACACTCAAGTAGAATAAAGGGAAAGGGTGGGAGAATATGTTTACCATTTTTATTAATATGCTGGAAAATTCTGTTCTGTATAGAATATATTGAGGGTTGCATAGGAATGAATGTGTTTTGTGGTTGATACTGATAAATGGATCGGTCTCATAAAATTCACTTCTCTGTTTTTCGACCAGATTCTTCTACTTGTATCATTTCGCGTTCTACGCCTATCACTACCGATTCAGTGGGCAATTCAGTGGCATGGCACTCTGGGTGTCTTGGCTGTTCATCCTACACTCAATGATCTACTTCTTTCATCACTACGAATTACCCCATTTCTTGAGTGATTGGCAACTGAGTGAGATGCTCGTTCGTATTGCTCCACCGCCCCAACGGATCGAAAGCTTTCAAATTGAGGTTGTTCCAGCGTGGACTACAAACCAGCTCGTATCAACAACACCCATTATATCCGGGGAAAACAGACGATCAGATACAGACAATCCGCAGTCAGAGGGCGATGTGCACACTCCTTCGAGAAGTGTGCATTTTTCAGATCTTTTACATGATCGAATTGATGCGGCTTCCTCAACAAATCAGTCTCCTCCTCCCGCTGTCCTTGATGTGGGTGACAATCCATACCTTGATGAGGAGGATGATTCACGATCGGCTGACGGAGACTCACCATCCTTTGTGGACCCGTGTCTCGTATCTCCTGCCGAAGACTGCCTTCCGTCGGTAATTTCGGGTTGAGAATTGCATTGCTTTTTGCATTCAGACTGTTCTTTCATCTAGGCTGAAGCTTTGTGATGACCCTTCCCTCGTTCTCCACTCGCCTTCTATGCGACTCACCACCGAGTTTTGTTCTTCAGAGTTGACTTCTCGAATAATCCAGTCATGGTACTTCTGTATTGTTTTTTTTATATATTTCTTTTTCTGATACGCGCCACGCGTACTCATTGCCGCATGGTCAAATACTACGCCAAATAAATGCACGTATTCATTGGGGTCCACACATCTCTCTCTATGTACAACCTAAAGGTTCATAACTGTTTTCCGATATGAATATCTCCAGTTTCCGTCACTGCACTATGCTTCTCTTTTCCCAGTGTCTAAACTAATCATATTATCTTCATCTATCTGTCAATTTGCCGACACAAAAGGAGAGACTGATCATTATTTTGCTATGTAAGTTCTCTCCGTATATGAGCACTCTCGTCTAATCACCTGTCTGTACTTGTTTGAGTATGCTGGTAGATGGGTGTGTGGTCCTCTATGTTTGCACAATCATCCCGCTACTTCATTCCATTCTTTATGTGGTCTTATCCGCTTCTAAGCTCTAACATCCATACTGCTCCTATCACATCCTTCATTCTCTCCCACCACAGTTACATCTAAGGTCCGGATGCGTGCTCAATTCTGTCTTGAATCATCCCAAACTATCTCATAATCCACCACAACCGATGACAATTCACACCAGAAAGGAACACGACAACAGAACAAGCAATCGAGGAAGAGATAGAGGAAGTCCGAATCTTAGAGATCCCTGCATGATGCTCTCTCTTGTCTGTGTTGACATTTGGTTGCCCACAAGCGACACCGTACTCTGTAGCAGTGCGCTAATGAACCGGATGCAATTTCTCACTCCTACCTCACACAGATACTAATCAATCAGATCGCATACAGTTCTGTGTACGTGTTCCCTCTCTCTCTTTGTTGGTCCCACAAAACAACCCGTCCCAAATGAGTGGAACGAAAGACCGAGGTTGATTTTAACTCCAATCGGTATTTTTTCGTTTTCCTCTATTTGAGACTGAAGTGTGTCTTGGGTACTCGGAAATATTAAAAATGAATGTTGGCAAAAGTGTCTGTGTGTGTCAGCTTCATTTATAAAATAGGATAGGATAGATAGAGGTGTGATAGGCCACACTAAAGAAAGAGAGCGACCGTTTGTCATACTACAACAGGCGGACCGGTCACCGCGAAAAAACGAGATATTTATTTTTCACAGTCCCTGGTTGCTTCTGTAGATTCTACTCTCGTCTCGTTACAGTCTGCATTTTAAGATTGCTCCTTTTACGCAATTGACTGAGATCATAATAGATGAAGCGCTGACGAAAACCCTGTTTTATTACACACTTGTAAGATGAAAAGCAGACCGCATGAGCACCATGGTAACGAAAGCATATACTGTTCAATCCCTGATGCTGGTAGCCTGGGTCCAGGGATTTGGAGTGGCAAACCACAAAAGGCCTCGATAGGTCAGACGTGGTATTGAGCCAAAGCTGCCTACCACTAACAATGGTTGGTGATGGGGTTCGAACCCCGGGATCCAAAGTGCACCGGTGACAGCGACTTGAACTGCTTGATCACCATCCAGATCGGGTGGCCCTAGTTTCCATGTCCCTGTTTGCACGAGAAAGTGTTGCAGATATTATCCATCAACCGACTTGTTTTTGTCATCTTACATGCTAGTTAATAAAACAACAACTACCCTGTTCGACTTTTGTGGTTTTACTTGACTGTCATTTAGTCCAGTTTCAGTTATCCGCTATGTACCTATGACAATGTACTTACGAAAACCTGAGACCAAATTTCGGACCCGGTCAAACCGTAGTTTCAGCCATTCCGTATGTCTGAGAGCGAATGTTCTCTTCGATTCGATTCGAAACGGAGATAAGTGCAAGGAACATAATCAACTGCGGTTCAAGAAAACCTAACAGCGAATAGATTTATCCATTCTATTTTCGTACAACTCTGGTGTAGGCAGCGTAGGCAGAGCATCTATTTTTTTTTAACACTGAAGGTATGCTGTGGGCATTAAAAACAACCTGCTTACAAAATTTATGGTCCAACTTTAGTGTACGAATCCGGTCGGTTTCCGTTCCAGGCTGAGTAACCCCCTCGCAGGTAAACTGTGCCGACTTTAAGGTTTAATTGCGTAAACAAAAAGACTGACTCGTATCAATTCACGATGGGTTACCATGACGTTTTTTCACGGTCGATGAAGCTAGTTTTCTTAAGATTGCTTATGTTGATGTCATGAGTTTCGTTATTAAAAGTGCAAAACCATGTGGGCATTTGTCCTAACATTAGTTGAGCCAAAGTACGGTCTATTTGGCTAATTTCACTGTGCGTGTACTGGTGAACGACGTGTAACGAAATTTACAACTGGAGCGCTCACGCCAGTGATATAGGTGACGAGAACTATTTGTGAAGAAAGTCATTACAATTGTCTTCCTTTTCATGGAGTAGCGTATTTGAAGAACGGCCGAAGTCAACCGTATCGATCTGAAGGAAGCACTTCCCAATGAGAGGGTAAATATATGGATGAACCATTGGAAGCTTCTTGATGGGGTGGGTTTTCCATGAATGAATCGTAGGTGGACTCCAACTTTGTGGATTTTCGGGTTTCATCTTGACGAGGTGTGTTTTCCGAATGCCTTCGATCCTAAATGGATGCACGGTCAATTGATAAGGTTTCGGTGAAAAATAAAGTTTCCCAAGTAACTCGTTCGATGGCATTGGATCAGAGCAGAGGCGATAATCGAGAGAAGAGCTTCGGACCGTCGCTGAGAAATCGAACATACTTCTAACCTTATCGGGTATTGGAGAACGTAGTGCTGGGTCGCGTGGGATGGAACGTACGTCATCTGCCTGATGTTCCGGAATCTTGTTGGTGCAGCCCTTTTTGTCGTATGTTTCCTCTGATCCGATAAGGGTATGCTCAAGTCATACAATCACTGAATTCACATTAGTTTGCACGGAAGTATAGCGAGATTTGGACATACGAAGCAAAATGTGATGAAGCCCACTGCTCACAGGTTCGGTGCAGCGACTCCTTGTATGATAAGAGCCAGCTTTGTGACCAGGCCTCAAACATTTAGAGCATATTCTTGCTGCGCTAGCCACTTTCAACCTTTCTTCATAACGCGCAGAGTTGAACTTATGGCGTAATTCCAGACAGTGTTCCGTACGACACACGGTAAATTGATCATCGAAACGACCCACTACCACTTACCCACATTGTGTTCGGGAATGAACAGGATAGGAGAGCGATGATTAGGATTCGCATCCGTAGAGTGTGATATTTCTAACTTTCCGGAATCGATAAGTTACTTCTTTTGGTTCCTGGTCATCAGTATTGTGTTTGTCAGAAGGAAATGAATTGAGTACTGTCGGATACGTCGGGATCCCGAGCAAAGTTGATTTGCTCGCAAGCGTCGAATACGGATTCAGCAAGTACTATCATAAGCAGCCGTGTTATTACATTAAAATGTGTACACACCTAACTTCCTGGCGTTCCCAAGGAGATTCATCGAACGTACAGGTATCCAACCAGATTGAGGATCGGAAGCAAGGGCTGATAAGCCAAACACAGGAGGTCACAACTCCTTGACGAGAAACGATGGACAATGAAAAGTCAATTTAAGATGTTCGAATATTAATTTAAGTTGTCTTGTAGCTATGTGGACAATTCCGGTGCACAATACAAGGTGAAAATGTGACCTCAGTCAAGTCGGGATGACGCAACATGGCTACTAGTATCATATACTACGGAAAAGGGGCAATCACCAGGTCCCTTGTTGTGGCTGAACTATCTGACCGATCGGTCGGAGATTTCAATTACTTCTTATGCGCCCTCGTTATGTCGGCACTCTGTCAGACAGAAACGTTTGGTGCGGGTGGTTGATGCGACGCACCTCTAAAGAACCGGGCCAGAGCTATCGCGACTAACAACAGAAAATCAGCTCGTTCACCCTAGAAGGCAACATTACGAACGTTGGTCTTCCCGCACTTGTCTGGACAAGGTAAACATAATTCTCATAACAATTAAAGAACTACAACAAAAAAAGAGAAATGTTTATTATAATGCAAATAATCATAAGTATTCCAGCTGGATTACTTTCGGGTACAAATCGATGACGTGTCTCACGAGACTTTTGCAACATTCTGCTATCATTAGTACCTCCGTTCCACGACAGACTAATTCCAGGCCTAGCATGCACCATTCGCGCATTGAAATCAAGCCTGAAAAGTCACCCGTAAGTAATACACTTAACTGCTCACGCATCCTTTGTCTCACTGTCTGTTTGATCACACTCCATGCGCCTTCAGTTTTGCTCAACGCAGGACGAAGGGGGACCGAAGTAAATTCTGGAAATTTCCGATGACCTTTTTCACGTGCAACTTGTCACTCCGTCACATGACTGAATTCACGTTTACACTCCGTACTGTCCACAGAGCAACATGACATCTTAAATTGAAAATCGTATAGTCAATGTGTGCGGGGTGTGTGAGTGCGTGCGTGCATGCATGTGGAGAGGCAATCAAAAGTTCAGAAAAACTAACAGTACGTGCCGGCATTGGGGAGGTGATATGCAGATAGACGATCAGTCGAACAAAGTGGTCTCACTCGATACGTAGGCGTACATAATTTGCTCATGTGAAAAAAGCTACTGGTCAAAATATGCGATGAATAAGTGACATGGACGGAGTATTGAGGGGAACAGGTAAAACAGATTCAACGATATCTATTAAATACCATACTAAATCCATTTATCCCCTCACAGCCAAAATTAGTTTATTTTACTGTGATCCGAAAGGTTTTTCTCTTAACAAGGCCAATGGTCATCCCCCGTTAGCTATTTAGCTTAAAAGGGGAAATTCGTCGTGTATATCGAAACTGAAACACTAAGAAGCAACGTGCATCTGTTTCGATCCGGTTGGGTCTCAGCAGTACGAATCCATCAAGCCAACTGGGGATCGAACCCGGGACTTCATAGGCAGAATGCATGCTACCCACCGGGCAGCTGATCAGACTGTTTCTCATTCTGAATTTGCAGGATATAGCACAACCCAGCTATACGAGTAACGGTCCTCATTCATTAGTTGGAAAGATTTGTGTATTATTTACAAGAAAACTCGGATCCATTTGATGCAATGAGGCACGTTTTCGAAGGCTTCTCTGCAAACACAAGAAAAATATT